CACCATCATCATCATCATCATCATCACCATCCCTACCATCATCCTCTAAGCGCCTCCAAAATTTCATGCCTTAACCCATCCAGTAATAAATATCTATACATTAATACAATACAATAAAACTGAGTGACGAGAGAGAGAGAGAGAGAGAGAGAGAGAGAGAGAGAGAGAGAGAGAGGTTAATTACACGAGGGATAGGAGCCGTCGTGGTATATGAGCCTCAGGTATTAACAGCCAAGAATCACTAAGACGTTTGTAAGGTATCTTTTTCCCTCCTAACAGACAGTGTGAGGAGGAGTCGGATCCGCTAGGAGGCGAAAATGAAGGCCCTCGGAACGAAGGTGTGTAGCAGAGAGGGTGTTGTAGTTTCGCCCGGATGAGAGAGGTAAGTATACTTTAAAGACACAGGTTAGATTTTTTTATGACTCCGTGTGTGTGTGTGTTTTTTTTCTTTTTTTTTTAGCGGATTTATAACATAATAAAACGTACTCGTGTAATTGCGTCATGAAACAAAGATGTCGCGAAGGTTATTGTAATAGTTGTTGTCGTCGAGATGCAAGACAATGCGGATTGTTGTTTACAGGAAGAGGGAAGAAAGAAGCAAACCCTAGACTTGAGATCCTTCAGCGCCGAGAAAGTAAATGCCTGGAGTTCTGTCCATCGTCCTACACGTATACATATCCCAGCTTCATAAAAAACAGGTAAGTCAAGAACTTAGTAACGTAATTTGAACTCTATGCATAACGTCATATATAACTAGACCATGTTTAACTAAAACACCATGTTTAACTAAAACACCATGTTTAACTAAAACAGCATGTATAACTAAAGTTCAATGGCTTAGTTGGATGTTTACTCTACCAACTCTGTCAACAACACTTGTCCTGAAATTATCAATAACAGGGTCGACTTAGTAACTATTGGGAGAAGTGATCCCTTAAGCGGGACTGCCAGCTCGAATCCCCGCCCTGCATGACTGAGATTGTGTCGTGCCTTGTAAGTCGACTACGGTCGTGGCTGTGCGAATTAAACTAGGTTCGTTCTCTTATAGTAATATAGTTTTATTTTATGATAGATTCTATTACTATAAGGATTAATTGGGTTGATTAAATTAAGAATGAGAGTTCAAGAGAGTCACTTGTAAGCGGCATAATTAGAGCCAGAAATTGAGTTAAGGCTGTTGATTTGTAGCGAGTTAAGGAAGTGTCACCCCTTTATAACTGGGTTGCACGCCTCCAGTTGTGCACACTGCTAGTAATGAGAGATAGTTTGAAAAGTGTGCAATATTGGGCTATATTCTGCTGTACTAATCCCTGCAAACAAAAGGAGGAACACTACCTCAGAGAACTTAGAAAGACTCGTAACCTGTGAAGGAGGACATTGTCTGGTCCGTGTGGTGAATTCTTAGTGTAGAAAGGTGGTTTACGGCGATATGATCACGGCTTCCAGTATCATCAGTTTGAGAATTGATTTACAGAACACTACGTACTTATGATACAAGTTTAACGTCGTCCAAATGATGTATCTTTGACAGTTTAGAAGCTGGAATAAGTATATTGTTAACTTCTTGTGTTAAGGCAAGTGCCGTAGTTACGTAATCACTACATTAGTAACACAATTAATGACGTCAATGCTACTCGCACAAATAAGGAGTAATCACTACATTAGCACAAATAATGACGTAATTTCAACACTCATAGCGCAACACATTACTCTCAAAGATATGATGTCATTACAACACTGACAACACAATGTTAAGCTGCTCTCACCACAGCGTTCACCTGGCGCAACATCACGTAAACAACAACATATAGAACAAGAAACAGCACAATGTACTTAAGACGCATGATTAACGTCCTAGACGTTCACAAGGAATTAAAGAAAGCTAATCACTTAGATTGTTTTAAGAGGTATATTTAGCCCTCACGAGCATAAACAAACTTTTCATTCACTGAGCTCGATGAAAATGAACTAACCAGAACGAAGTTTTACGCCAAACAATTATCCTCCTCTTGTAAACAAAACTTTATTTTTGGCATCAGGGAATATTTGTAATCGGGAGATACATTCCATTTTAGTAATGGGTGGATGCTTCCGGAAAACCGTGGCTAATAATAGAGAACGGTGTAACGCCTGGCAGCGAGGATATTGTTGTCGTACGTTGCCGGCCGGCCGTGCTATGATGGGGTGAGGGAGGTGCAACGTGTGTTTGTTGTGGGTATAACCAACTAAATATTGTTATGGTTTCTCAAATAGTGTTTGCCGTTAGAGTCTGAGTGTGCTTCGCCTTTGTAAATAAATAGTCGCTAACAAAAACTCATGGGTTAATATATGAGTTATTGATATGCACGTAGGTTATACTTCTAAAATGTATCTCAGTATTGTAATAAATGGTCCCGTCAATTATATACACACGACAATCTACCGCTTCTCATGTCTATAAAAAAATCGATAATTGGATGAACTCAACGATTTGTTCGCCTCAGAGAAAAAGTTTTACGTTTAGTGCAATTTAGTTGTTCCTACTGACTTACAGAACCTCATTCCTCAACACATTACCAAGTTGAATTACCATCACGGCAGCACTCATGCTACTGTATGTTAGGTAAATTCGTAGTTGCCGAATTATTTATGACTTTCATTTGTAAATTACAGTAAATCAATGATGAAAATCGTGAAAAGCAAACATGCGTCATAGCTACAATGCGGAATGGAAGGTTGAAGAACAGTAGTACAGGAGAGTTGACTTGATCCATACCGGCGGCGTCAGAACTCGATTAAAAACTATAACATCAATTCTCTCTTTCATTAAAATTCAACTCCCAATATCAATATGTCTTTAACTAACAGCTTTTACTGCAATGAGTAGAAATCCTGAAAACGGAATCAAACTAAAAACAAACATCAGCGGGGGAGGAGGAGCTGGGGTCTCTCTTTCACCTCTGACATTATAAGGCGGCAAGACCCACGCGCTCGCCCACCAACGTCAATACATGTGCAAGGGACGCATGCCTGGGACAAAGATATCCCACACACTTCTATCTCTCCTTTCATAACAAACATCAATAATTTTCATGGTTTTGTTAAAATCCCAGTTCACTCGAGCAAATAATTTTTCTTGTCCTGGCCACTCAGAATCAATTTGAATTTTGGCGCTCAGCTCCACGTTCAAACAATCGATGTACAATGGCCACGGCTCGTACACATACTCACACACACTACACTTACCACATGACACCACAACTCACTGGTATTTTACTCAGATTCATGAAAATACTTCACAAAATCGAAAATGGTCTTCTTAGTTCAAAAAGATACGTGCTGTAGGTCGTGGACAAATGTCATTGATTGCGTGACATTTTGTCTTCGGGGTTCAATCTACCATAAACAATAAGTGCACACACACACACATAGTTATAATGATATCGGTAATCACTGAATCATAAAATGGAGAGATTACTTTTCAGTGTATCCCTTTTGCACTATGACCTTGAAGAGCTACGGCCAAGGTCACAGCTTCGTACTCACTCGAGGGGAGAGGTGGGTGAGGCGGGGAGGGAGGCATGGGAAAGGGAAGACAGGGAGGCTGTAGCACGCGTTTGGCCAGCGTCTTGGGGCTTCTCAGCGGTCACCACTTGTCATACTTTATCACTCAGTCGCCTCTTTCTCCCTGTACAGCGTGATGTTTACCAACAGTGGTTGGAAAAGGGGAGTTGGTGGTGGTGTGATGAGACGAGCCGGCGGAATCATTAGGTAACGTTGGGTAATGGTTGAGGGCCGTGCTGGGTGCCACTGTTGCTGGGTGCAGAGGCTCCTGTAGGGGTGTTCTTTTGTGACGCAACACCTGGACCGTGTCTACACTACACCAGTACAGCGTCAGTCCCAGTTGTGCGGTGTTATATACAGCGTCACAGCGGCTGCACGATGTTATACACAGCGTCACAGCAGCTGCATGGTATTATATACAGCGACACAGCAGCTCCACGATGTTATATACAGCGTCACAGCAGCTGCATGGTATTATATACAGCGACACAGCAGCTGCACGATGTTATATACAGCGTCACAGCAGCTGCATGGTATTATATACAGCGACACAGCAGCTGCACGATGTTATATACATCGCCACAGCAGCTACATGGTATTATATACAGCGTCACAGCAGCTGCACGGTGTTGGGTCATCTTGAATCATCTGATCATGTTCTCATAAAGCACTTGGCTTGTTTCCACTCACACAACACTCTTGTAGTTCTTGGTAATTTTACTTTTTTTTCTTTTAACACAGTCACAAATTTTCACCGGGGCGTCTCAGCTTACATGGGAGAGAGTATGGCAGGTAAGGAAGCAGTGGTGTTGTGTGATGAGTGTGTTACGTAGGTGTGTGTGTATGTGTATGACTGAGGAAATGGTGGGTGACGGAGGTGGTAGTGATGGGTGTAGGAGGTGGTGGTTAGGTGACGGAGGAGTAGATGGTGTATGAGGCAGGTGGTGTTATTGGTGGTGGATGAAGGGGGTGGTGGGTGATAGGGGCTACACTTGGACAAATATCGACCCCCTACTGGTTTAATTACGTCTTCTAGTTTCATCTCACACCTGTTGCCTACACACTAGTTGCTCTTAGTCCTAAAACTACTCTTGTGTTGTGCTTCAGTATCCCCCTCCTACACCCTTCCCTCCCTCCCTCCCCCATTACCCGTAGTTTTTTACCCCAGTACACTCAAACCTGCATGAGTGTTTCTCTACACCTTACACCCGATTGCCCTAAAGTCTTTTTGATTACACCTCTACACCTCGAAGATACCTGCGTGTTGTACGAGATAACATCTATCAGCCACACCCTCTCTTCTTCAGTTTCTCACCAAACAAGCCCACACTATCGTCACCACCACACGTGTCCCAAAATACGCGGGTCATTACCCTCCCTTACCACCTCTTAAGTTACCACCACCACTACGAGTCACTAATTCACACTACGGAGAAAGGGAAAAAAATGCTGCTTACCTCTCATATGCTGTACAGGAGTTTGTACTTGCTGTCCAAAAGCCACGAGAGAACTGGAGGGATGGGAAGGAGGAGGTGGTACAGGGCTCGAGCACCGGGAGACAAGCCGCCTGCCTCCGTGAGCGTCCTGGGAGTCACTCGGTTCGACCTTACTGGGTCAAAGAGAGCAGTAGTGGAGGCGGGGAGCGCAGGCGCTGTTGGTGGAGGGGAGGCTGGGGGACCTACCTTTGGTGGGGTCCTGGGGCGCCCACAGCCCGGATGAAGGAAGAAGAGTTGCTGCTGGTGTGAGGGAGGCGGGGGGGGGTGTTAGGAGGGAGGGAAGAATTTTTGGGAGGTGGGACCGAGAGATACGTTAGGGTGGGGTGGAGTGTGCATGGTTTTGAGGAGGGCAACGTGTGTTGTATTAGATAATTAGGGTACAGTATTTGCAGTAGGGATGTGCAAAGTGCTGGTGAGGGAAATGTGTGCAGGGTGTTAAGGAAAGGAGAAAATGTGTACTCCGTGGAATATTAGGTTGAGAGGTACTGTATGTACGGGAATATGTATTGTGCAGCGTGTTAGGGATGGGGATGCGTAAATGTAGGGGAAGCAGAACAATGTGCAGAGGAGGAATGTCAAAGAACTTAGCGTGGGGGTACGGAGTTAAATGAGGTCGTGACTTTGCATAACATTACCTCCTCTGTTGATGTGTGGAAGGTTGAAGAGTTCTATCGGGTAGCGTGAGGTAGGTAGTGTGGACGGTAGAGGTAGAGGTGATCGTGTAACTCTACTGTTCAAATAGCTGGTGTGTTTATCCAGTGTTCGCGTGTTAGCCACCGCTTGGTGTGTATACGTGTGGTAGCCAGCGGTCGTGTCTGGTGTAAGTGTCAATATTCGTGTGGTGGCCAGCGGTCGTGTCTGGTAAAAGGGTCAATATTCGTGTGGTGGCCAGCGGTCGTGTCTGGTGTAAGGGTCAATATTCGTGTGGTGGCCAGCGGTCGTGTGTGGTGTAAGGGTCAATATTCGTGTGGTGGCCAGCGGTCGTGTCTGGTGTAAGGGTCAATATTCGTGTGGTGGCCAGCGGTCGTGTCTGGTGTAAGGGTCAATATTCGTGTGGTGGCCAGCGGTCGTGTCTGGTGTAAGGTCAATATTCGTGTGGTGGCCAGCGGTCGTGGGTGTAGGGTCAATATTCGTGTGGTGGCCAGCGGTCGTGTGTGGTGTAAGGGTCAATATTCGTGTGGTGGCCAGCGTGTCAGTGTAAGGGTCAATATTCGTGTGGTGGCCAGCGGTCGTGTCTGGTGCAATAGGTCATGGTCGTCTGGTAAAGGGTCAATATTCGTGTGGTGGCCAGCGGTCGTGTCTGGTGTAAGGGTCAATATTCGTGTGGTGGCCAGCGGTCGTGTCTGGTGTAAGGGTCAATATTCGTGTGGTGGCCAGCGGTCGTGTCTGGTGTAAGGGTCAATATTCGTGTGGTGGCCAGCGGTCGTGTCTGGTGTAAGGGTCAATATTCGTGTGGTGGCCAGCGGTCGTTTTGTTCTTATGACCAATATTCGTATGTTTACCAATGTTTATGTTCGCTTGATGGCCAATACCGATATGGTCGTAATGGCCAATGTGGATTTAGTGACCAGAATTAGAGTGATACCCGGTGTTATCGAGGCTGTGGTGGCTAGTAGTCATATGAGCGAGCATTAGTGAACTAGTTGAAGAAATAATCTAGACAGCAGTCATTAGTCAATATCTCGAGTCAGAGCAATAATAGGAGGATAGGAAGCACTCACGCGTTGAAAATAATGCATCTCATCTACAACAACTAGCTTTCTACATCAACAAATGCTATATATACTGTATATGAAAAAAAAATTATCAGCCTTTTGCGAACTTTCAGCATTAATCCTTGCCGTCCTTTCTATACCCGAACCTCACGTCACGAGAGCGATTTTACGGTTAGGTTCCTGGTAAAAGAAGATTTGGAGAGAGGTGTTCGTGGAGGTGTGGGGAGGAGGAAGAGGTAGTTAGGGGAAGAGGTTGTGGGTGTGAGGAGGGGAGGGTGGGGAAAGAGGACGTAAGAAGGAGGTTGTGAAAGAGGAGGGGGGAAGGAGGAAGAGGTAGTAGGTGAGGGCGAAGAGGAAGGAGGGGGAGGGAAGGAGGAGGAGGGGAGAGGGTGAGGAGGAGGAGGGGAGAGGGGAAGGAGGAGGAGGAGAGAGGATGGAGGAGGGGAGGAGGGGGAGAGTGGTGAAGGAGGAGGAGGGGAGAGTGGGTGAAGGAGGAGGAGGGGAGAGGGTGTGGAGGAGGAGGAGGAGGAGGAGGGGGAGAGTGGTGAAGGAGGAGGAGGAGGGGGGAGAGGTGGAAGGAGGAGGAGGGGAGAGGGTGGGGGAGGAGGAGGAGGGGAGAGTGGTGAAGGAAGGAGGGGAGAGGGGAGGAGGGGAGAGTGGTGAGGAGGGGGGAGGAGGAGGAGGAGGAGGGGGAGAGAGAGGAGGAGGAGGAGGGGGAGAGGAGGGGAGAGGAGGAGGGGGAGAGGGTGAAGGAGGAGGGGGAGGGGGAGAGAGTGAAGGAGGAGGAGGGGGAGAGGGGGGGAGGAGAGGGGGAGGGTGGGAAGGAGGAGGAGGGGAGAGGTGAAGGAGGAGGAGGGGAGAGGGTGAAGGAGGGGAGGAGGGGAGAGTGGTGAAGGAGGAGGGGAGGGGAGAGTGGAAGGAGGAGGAGGGAGAGGAAGGGGGAGGAGGGGGAGGGTGAGGAGGAGGAGGGGGAGGGGGAGGGGAGAGGGGGGAGGAGGAGGGGAGAGGGGAAGGAGGAGGAGGGGGAGAGGGTGAAGGAGGAGGAGGGGAGGGTGAAGGAGGAGGAGGGGAGAGTGGTGAAGGGGAGGGGAGAGGGTGAAGGAGGAGGAGGGGAGGGGGGAGGGAGGAGGAGGAGGAGGAGGAGGGAGGGGGAAGGGGGAGGAGGAGGAGGAGGAGAGGGTGAAGGAGTGGATGGAGAGAGGGAGGAGGAGTAGGGGGAGAGGGTGAAGGAGGAGGAGGGGAGAAAGGAGGAGGAGGGGGAGAGGGTGAGGAGGAGGAGGGGGGAGGAGTGGTGAAGGAGGAGGAGGGAGAGGGGAAGGAGGAGGAGGGGGAGAGGGTGAAGGAGGAGGAGGGGGGAGAGGAGGAGAGGAGGAGGAGGAGGAGGAGGGGAGAGGGTGAAGGAGGAGGAGGAGAGGGTGGGGAGAGTGAGGAGGGGGGAGGGGAGAAGTGAGGAGGGGTAGAGGAGGAGGAGGGTGAGAGCGACGTAGGAGAAAGGGCGGGAGAGTGGGGAAGGAAGAGGAGGAGGGATCAAGAAAAAGTTAGCGAGAGTTAAAGATGAAGATTCTGGGGAGAAGGTGACGGGGGAGAGGGAGGAGGTGCAGGAGGAGCGAGATGGCCTCTACCTAAGATTTGATTACCAGGAGTCCCCATTGTATGTGGTCCATTATGATTATTTTTCTCATATCTCTCTCTCTTTTCTCTCTTCATACCAGGCAGATACACGTGCATATATATATATATATATATATATATATATATATATATATATATATATATATATATATATATATATATATATATATATATATATATATATATATACATACTTTTTTATTTATTTATTTATTTATTTATTTATAAGCGAGTATGAGTCTGTATTCCTATAATTGTGTCTACGTCTCTGACAAGGGGACACTTCGATAGATAGATCTGATAGTGACACTTGTCTGATCTTTCCTTGTGCTTTTTATATCTTTGAAATATAATGTCATGTTCTAATCATGTCTGTGTACATGTATGTGTAACTGTACGTTTCCATTTGTTTATGAAAGGTGAGAGATTGATAATATCCTTCAATATTCACTCGCAAACTCCCGAGGAGCTAGTTAACGCGTGGTGAGGTCACGACCCTCATAACTTTCCTCTAAATTGAATTCTACGACATGGAAGATCTTGCAAGAGAACGGAAATGTCTTAATATTTGTAACTTGTATATACAGTATAGATATATATATATATATATATATATATATATATATATATATATATATATATATATATATATATATATATATATATATATATATATATATATATATATATATATATTATTTATTTATTTATTTATTTATTTATTTATTTATTTATTTATTTATTTATTTATTTATTTATATAACCACTGCTGCCCTGAGGTGGGTGGCTTTCCCAATAGTCTTTGGCTGCTGAAACGAACCATTGTTGTTGAAAGTGGGTTGTATTCCACCTTAGACTTACAAACTTGAGCCTCGCTAATTTTAATTATGTTTCCCCCAAAGGAGAACTTATTGTTTTGTCTGTGTTTCTTCTTCTGTTCTTGTTTTCCTTCTCTCAATATTCTCGGAAGCAACAAACAAATAATAGTCACTCATTGCTTTCTTGGCTTACCGGTATTAATTTTGAACTTGGCAGACTTATTCCTTTGTGCAATACTCCTGACATATTTGTCCTTATATTAATTTTGATCCTTTTAATTATTTTGCAAGTTCAAAGGTCAAACAGGTCATGTCGTGCTAAACAGAGGATACAAACATCGCCTTATCTTATATTACCTTAATCTTGAAGCCTCACCAAGTCGTACACTTCATAACAAACTCTAAACGTTCGTAAATAACACATTCACTCCTCGGCTAAGAGAAGACCCAAAAAAATATATTTATTGTAATCAACCAGACTGTCTTGCGGGGTTGACTAGACACCTACAGAGGAGTGGAAACGCCTGGGGGTACAAGGTAATAAACTTGTAGGATACTGTACTTTGTTTGTGTCAGGCGTTGATAATAATACGCGGGAATGGAGTGAGGCGCTAAAAAAAAAAGAGATGTCGCATTATTTTGTTTTGTTTTCTTGTTGTGGTAATGAAAGAAGAACAATTGTACGAATAGTGAGTTGGATACACTTCTATAGACAACAGATACAGAGCTGAATGCATAAGCAAATGAGCAGCGAGGAGGTGATAGAGCGTTCGAATACATACTTAAGGCTCTTCTACACACATACACACACACACAACAGATTAGGTCCTCTTAAGTTGGCAAAGGGGATGAATATACGCAGAGAGAGAGAGAGAGAGAGAGAGAGAGAGAGAGAGAGAGAGAGAGCCTAGGCCCCACGTGGATGACAGACAGA